AAGAATATTCATTGGTGTTTTTAGTCTAAAGGTTGTTAAAGCTAGTCGGTTTGTAAGATATGTAACAGTTAGAAGGACTTCCCTCAATAGGATTTGGGTATATTGTGGTGGAAAATAAGTGCATGGGTGGAGACAAGAAGATGGTTATTTTTTCTTTCTGCAAGTCTGTTTTGTTGTGGGTTATGAATACAGGAAGACTCATAAATGATATATTCTTTTTGAAAGTAGGACACAGTTTGGTTAAACTAATCTTTGGAATTGTCAGAACGAAAGTTTCTTATTTTTACCCTGAATTGATTCTGGATCATTGTGTGAAAAATGGGGAGGATAGTGCTAATATCAGATTTGTTTTTGAGGAGAAAGATCCAAGAGACTCGAGTGCAGTCATCATTGAAGGATACAATTTATCGGGCCCCTGAGATGTTAGGAATTTTTAAGGGTCCCTAGATATCACTATGAATAAGGTAGAAGGGGATATAACATCTTTCATTTTTATTTCGAAAAGAAACTCGTTTATGCTTGACTAACTCACATGTTTCATAATGAAAATATTCATTTTCCAACTTATAAAAAAATTTGGGTACATATTTTTTAAGACATCAAAAGATGGATGACCTAATCTAGAATGATGAAGTCAAGTAATATATTTTTTTATTAAATAGAGATGACATAGAATAACCATTATTGATAATCATGGATTTGTTCAGCTCTTCCAGGTAGTACAATCCATCGCTCTCTTTAACAAGTCCAATCTTCTTTCTCGATCTCTGGTATTGAAAAAAGCAACAATAGGGTTGAATATTGAGATTATGTTTGTGGATAATTGAAGTACGTGGAGCACATTTTTTGGAGTGAGGGAGGGCGATATGAGTATGTCTCTTTGGCTTGCTATTGTGGTAAGAGAAGCATCAGCATTGATGATTTTCTTATCACTCGGGCAAGAAGTGTAGTTGATAAAGTGGGTAGTGGAGTGTCATGTGGTTTTGGGCTTTTGAGTCAATGATCCATAAACCTTTCAAATGATTTCTAAAGGCACTTAATCCAATGGATGTAAGAAACTTACTTGAAAGTATAAGAGAAGAAGATGCATGTGATTTCTCAAGGATTACCGAGAGTTGTTTTAGCTTATCAATATCTTCTTTGTTGAGCTCTCTGAAGCTGAACTGCATTTCTGGGTTGGGTTGATTTGTTGCAGTGTTTGTCATATTCCCTTTTGTCCACTTCTGTGATTCCACTTTTTATTTGAGGGTTTTTTCATATAATTTCCAGTATGTCTCTTTTGTGTGTCTTGATTTCTTGCAATAGTTGCACCAAAGAGAATTTGTTTTTAGGTTTTGAGGAATCCTTGTTATGACGCCTTTTTGGTTGTCACCATTATCGAACCTTTAGTAACCTTTGATTCCAACATTACCCCTCATTAGCTTTCCTTAACACGAATGAGAGAAATTGTCTCATTTAGTGAGGGTGTCTCTTATTTGCCAATGATTTGAATTCTAACCTGGTCAAACTACGTATTTAATCCTGCAAAAAAGTCATACACTCTATCTTTCTCGTTAAAGCTTTTTAGGATAGAAGCATCTTTTGGACACTTGGTCTCAATGCATCTATAGTGCTCAAGTTCTTTCCACAAAGAGTGGCATATTCAGTCATAGTCTTGCTTGTTTTGTGTTTTTTACTTTAACTTTAATTTTGAAGATTTGTGCAGTATCCCGAGCTTTTGAGAAGGTTTGTTTGGCGGCATCCCATATGTCTTTTGCAGTATAGAGGAACATGAAAGTATAACTAATTTATGGAGTCATGGAATTTCACAACCATGACATGATCATGGAGTCTGCTGAGAGGAAACACATGTAGATTTCAAGTAATCCTATCAATCTTTGGAAAACAACGAGAATTCTCCACGAAAAATCCATACAAAACCAGAAAAGCAGTAGATAATTTGTATTATTTGATGAAAGGAAAACATAAAATACCAAGATATAATTGATCATCTATTCGAGAGGAGGATTTATCTCTCCCAATTTTCTAGACGCCACTAGAGCCCAAACAAAACCTAAGAGAGATCTCAAATTTTAGCCAAATTCAAGATGCCCAAATCCTATGAAAACAAACTATTTAATGCATACAATACAAAATGAAATATATAAAAAAAATACAAAAGGAAATATCTAAACAGTCTATACATTCAAATTTCCCTCTTACATCCCTCAAAAAACCTTCTTATTATGTCTACTGGAGTCCACAGTTTAAGCATCATGTAGGAGAGGCGGACGAGTTCCCCCTCTGTCTCCGCGAGCTGGTCTAATAGGCCGATATAACAATATCCCCCTCCCAAAGACCCATATTGTCCCCCATGGTGGAAAGATGACACTCTCCTTAATTTTCTTGTTATCACAAATAGTGAAAACCTAAAGAGTTCAGTTCTTACACCTGTTTCTCGATGCATACCTTTCATCACACGCTTTGCACTCTTCTCTTGTAATTCCATTTATGTGAACTTCTTGAAGTTGTTCTCAGGTCTTCCTCCTACAGTCTTTTGCTTCGAAGTCTCCCAAAGAGTATCTAATGTTGGCTCTTTGGAAGCCAAAAAGGTGGTGATCTTCCTGTACGAGCCTCTTGAGCTGCTGCCTCCCGTCCCTCTCTTTAGGTGCTTCTGATCTTCCACCAACTGAGCTAGCTCCATAGCCTCTCCCAAGTCATGAGGCCTCATCACTCTAACCTCTGTGCTGATCTCTGATTTAAGTTCTTTCATAAAGTTCTCCTCTAGTACAATCTCCGAAAGCCGGTCCAGTCGACTGGCCAGGTACTCATATTTCTCACGGTACTCCACCACTATCCCCTCTTGTATCAAAGCTAAGAACTGCTCATCGAAATCCCCTCCATTGCTGGTTTGGAAACATTCCAACATGCAGTCTTTAAACTCCCTCCAGGTTTGTTTTGGTCGCCTCATATCCCTCTACCGATAGCATGCTAAAGCTTTCCCTTCCAAGCACATCCTGATTGCCATCAGTCTCTCCCCCACCGTCAACCTGTTGATGGTAAAGTACCTTTCCACTTTGTAGATTCATCCATGAGCATCATCTCCCTAAAAATAGGCATCTTCAGCTTCCTCTCCCTCAAATGCATATGTTGGGTTTAAGGTGACATTAATTTCAAGCGCAAAGTGGGTTTGAAAGCACCATTATGCTGAATTGGGACAAACTTCAAAATAATCCTCCGATTATTTATACATGACAAATTTAATCCCAGTGTATCACGTTGCTCCAATTTAGTTTCTCAATTATACAAAATGACTCAAATAGTCTCTTTGGGATTAAATTAGGATCAATTTTGTATATTCGAGGGATTAAAGTGGGATCAATTTTATATTACAATTATAAGATGATGGATCATTTTGGATTAATTTTATACAATTGAGGGATTAAATTGGAGCAATGTGATATTTTGTGACTAAATTAATCACAGATGAATAGTTTTGGCATTATTTTAAGATTTTTTTTTTGGTGCTAAATATAAGGTGTCAGGTCAACTACCACATCGGTAGAGTGATTTAGCTCCAATCATGTCAGTAGATTTATTTGGGTGGTTATGATTTATTCTTTTACATTGTTATTGTGCAATCGGACAGGAGAGGGAATATTTGGGTGGGATTATAGATTACTCCATCTGTTTGAGTATCTTTTGGAGAGGAGTTAGAACAACCTTATATCCCTTGTTCTATGGATTAATAAGAAAAATGGTAGAAAAATAGGAAGTTAAGGAAGAGAAATCAAGAACATGTGGTCTTACTTAAAAGGGCCTTCACGGATTCAGGTTAGATTCCTGATTGGCCTTAATTATCCATCTAAATGATCATCTTTTTTTTATTTTTGTCCCAACTATTTGGAGTGTATTGACAAGTGGTCCTCAGTGATTAATTCTCTTCAAGTGTTCCATGTTTTTTCAACTCATAGCTAGGTTGTCTCACTTGAATTTTAGCCTAGACTTCCGTGTCAACTCTATTTACAAAAATCCTTGTGGGTGTTTTGCATTAGAAGTCTATCTGACTTACGTTCCTGGTCAATCAACATGGAACCTAATTTCCTTGTAACTACAATCTCTGTTGGGAGTCCTGCTACGCTAAAAGAGAGAGAAGCTTTATTTGTCTCTTTCATTTTGTGCATCTACAAAGAGTCATACTTTGTTTCAACCAAAATCTAGTCCTGAAAACCTAGGTGAAACAACCCTGCTAATTCAGTTTGATATTAGCATGTCAGTATTGGTTCAATACAATGCTTCTCCTTATGATGTTATAGTGTACGATGGAACAATCGAATGCTGAAGATTGAACTTATTTCCTTAAATTATACCAGAAAAAGGGAGTCTATTCAATTCTTAAGAGAAGCTCAAAAGAAGTAGCTGCCTTAACTTCAATTGTAAAAGCTATTAGGTGTTACTATTTAGGTAATCTTTTAAGCACCTCCCTAGAAAAGCACAGGGCTAGGAAACATTCAGGTGGTCACCCCTTATAATCAGAGCGTCCTATGATCACTCTCATCTCCTTCTGCCTCACTCTACATTTAGTCAGTATGAATAAGAATAGAAAAGCAACCAAGTCATATGAGGAAAAAGAGAAACCAAAGCATTAGCAGTCGTGAATTGTACTCCGATCACCATTGGAAAAGCACTTAAGCAGGGATTGGTACTAACATGATCCGTGGAAACGCATCAACCTCCATTGGAAGTTACAAGCAATCAACAAATAAGGTCCAGAGATGGCTATTCACACATGTACACTTTTTACCAGTCAGGCAAATGGATCTTCTATGGTTTCTATGGTGTTATCATCAGCTCTTAATTTTAGACATCTGCATCATCCGTATTGTTAGTATTGTGTACCCTACTTTTCTACTTTCCCTTGAAGATGATTTTATTGCTATTTTTCTTCTTAAAAAGAAAGTGCTGAATTTGTGAACTTTTTAACATCGCTTGACTTTTGGCATTTTATACATTCTTTCCAGAAATTTATTCATGCAATTTCTCCTACTCCAGCATCTGCTATTCCAGCTTCAGAAATCCATTTAAAACCACCAAATACAACAGTGTCTCCGTATGATATAGAAGGCACTTCAAATCATTTAAGAGAACAAGCTAAGAGGCCGGCTAATAGTGATTCTGCCAATCAATACTGGCGGTTTGATGTCTCAAAAAAGAGGCCAAGGCATGATGGACTCAGTGGGGAAAGATTGTGCTTCAAATATACATCCTCTGGTGCTTGTGCCCAAGGAAAAAAGTGTAGTTATCGACACGATGAAGATGCCAGGGAGCAATATCTTAAAAATGTTTGTTTTGATTTTCTCAACAAAGGAAGATGTGAACGTGGTCCAGATTGTAGATTCAGACATAGTTTGGTAGAGGAAGGAGATATTCTTTCCCAAGGAGGGCAGGGATCTCAAAATGGAAAGTCTTATAGGTCTGTATGGCATATGGCGCTGTTATTTTTTTTGCTAGCATTGCATGTTTTTCTACTACCCAAATGCTTCCATTTATAATTATTCCATCCAAACCTTAAAAAGGACAACAAAACATCCCTTATGTTTTAACTTTTGTTAAATTCTTTATGATTTAGTCATGGAATGCACAAATATGTGTTTCTAGGTTTTGTCATGCTTTCTGTTAGTTTTATAAATAACCATGCTTTGAGAGTTATGTAAGTATTTTTTTTTTCCATGGAACTTAAATTGGCTCTATAACATAGCATATATTTCTTGCAAAATGTTGGTTGATGGAATATGCAGTGTGTAAAATCCAATTTGAGGGGAGGGATACAATGTCCTATTTGATGCAGTTTCTTCTATAACACCCATGACTATTTACAAAATTTACACTCAACTGCTTCCATTTACAATCGTGCCACTCAAATCTTTTCTATTTTTTATTTTTTTTTATCTTGCCACTCAAATCTTGAGAAGAACAATAAAACTATATTTCATATATTTTTTATTCATTAAATTCTCAATGATATAATCATGTCATGCACAAATAGGGGTTAGTTTCTTTTTTACTGGGGTGTCAATGATATAATTTTTTTTTGTTTCTAAAACTTTTCTTATTCATTTTCAGCTTCAATAAACTTGTCCAATGATAAATTGGTTGTCTAGTTTAGCAGCCTGCTTTAGTTAGAAAAGTCTTTTAGCTTGGAGTTAACACTTATATAGGATGCTAGGACACTTAATCCATGCAATACTTGACACATGTCAGTCACATGCATTTGACAAGGCACTAATATTTTTTGAACATGGAAAATTTCTTCGAAATTAAAATGAATACAAAAAAATTCTAACAGACGTCTCATATGCACGGTGGGTCACGACACACCACCATCAAATTTAGCATTATTTTGGCAGTTTTTTTTTGTTAGTGAATTTTCATCTCCTTATCTTTGGAAGGGAAACGACCATGCCACCCTTGTTATTATTGTTGGTATTTTTATTGATTTTTTTGGTATTATTATAGATTTTATATGTTTAGGAGATGAAGTAATTTCATGGCTTATTAAACTTTTTAATACTGTTTTGAAGACTAACAGATGAGTGGAGAATGAGTGTGTTAATTCATATTTTTAAGAATAAAGGTGATGCACAGGAGTGTGCGACTTATAGAGGAATTAAGTTAATGTGTCATACTTTAAAACTATGGGAGCGAGTTATGGAGCGTAGGTTACAGCGTGATACTAATGTTTCTCAAAATCAATTTGGATTCATGCCGGGTAGGTCTACCATGGAAGCCATATATTTATTAAGAGGTTTGATGGAGAAATATAGAGAGAATAAGGAGGAACTACATATTATATTTATTGATTTAGAGAAAACATATGATAAAGTTCTAAGAGAAGTGCTATGGAGAGTTCTTGAAAAGAAATGAGTTAATAATGCTTATATTCAAATCATTAAATATATGTATGCAGGAGTTATTACTTGTGTTCAAAAAATAGATGGGGATATTATCAGCAGAATTCAAGTTGGATGGTTGAAGTGGAGGAATGCATCGAGCTTGTTATGCGATATAAAAGCCCCCCTCAAACTTAAGGGAAAATTCTATAAGATAGTGGTGAGACTTGCAATGCTTTATGGTGCCGAATGTTGGCCATTAAAAGAGAAGTATAATACTAAATTAAGTGTTGCATAGATGAGGATGCTTTGGTGGATGAGTGGCTTTTACCCTTAGAGATAGGATATGAAATGAGCATATACATGTAAAGGTTGGAGTAGCTCTAGTGGAAGATAAGATTAGTGAGAGTCGCCTTAGATGGTTTACTCACATTAAACAGAGGCCTTTTGATGATCTGGTTAGGAAAGTTGAGGTTTTAGATTTGTGTTATGTTAAGAAAGGTAGAGGTAGACCTAAAAAGAGTTGATTAGACAAAATTAGAAATGATCTTTCTTTGTTAGATTTAAATGAGAATTTGACTTTTAACAAGACACAATGGCGAAAATGGATTCATGTAGCCGACCCCACGTAGTGGGACAAAGGCTTGATGTTGTTGTTGTTTTGTGTATAGATTTTTTATGTTTAATTTTGGTCAATAATTGCATTCCCGTGTTTGTGCACCACATCAATATTATATGTGCGACTCAAAGTAGCTCCACTTGCTTGGTCAAATATCAGTTGTCTCTATTTTTGTTTTATGTTTTGAATTGCAATATCATCATATTCATTGTATGATTCAGTTTCAGTTGTCCATTCACCTGTTGTTTAAGTTGTCTTTGAGTCTTGACTCCACAGTTTTATTTCAGGACAATCCCAGAGAAGAAGTGTTGGTTTTGCTTGTCAAGCCCTGATGCTGAAGTACATCTTGTGCTAAGCATTGGGGAAAGTTACTACTGTGCACTTGCTAAAGGCCCACTTGTTGAAGATCATGCGCTGTTAATACCGATTGAGCACCACCCTAATACTTTAACAACAACATCGGAGTCAGAGGTAGAACTCGGAAAATATAAAGATGCCCTCAAAGTTTATTTCAAGAATCAGGAAAAAGCAGTTGTGTTTTTTGAGTGGATTTTCCGAAGTAGCCCTCATGCGAATATTCAGGTATGGGGTGCTGTAGTTATATTCATGGAAATGCTTCGTAGAGTATCTAGTTTATTCTTTTTGATGATATTCAATCTTTAGATATGATTTTTTTAATAAATGCAAACAGTTATCTTAGCTTTCCCTTTTGTCTACGTTTAGTTTTTCCTGTATAACTTCTCTTGCCTCATATTTGAAAATAAAATTAGCACACAAGCTTGGGTTAGAACTACCGCTTATCTTCCAGCTCACAAGTGAGAAAATTAATGAATGAGATTTAGTTCATTTCTCCCCCTGGAAAGAAGTTAGTACCTTTATTTGTAATCTATATCATTAATAGTCAAATTAAAATATGAGAATGTTAAGATGAATGTGTGGCTAATTTAGGATGGAGAAATTTGATGGTGATGGCTTATCGGGGTGGGGGTTCTAAAATACTTTCGATATAAAAGTTCAAATCACAAGTGAGTTAGAGTGTAGATGACAAGCGAGCAATAATTACATGCTAAGTGCAATTACAATATGACAAGTATCACCAGAACAATAAAAATGGAAAAAACAATTTTAACATGATTTGACTCATATTAGCTATGTCATCTCCTGAGAAGACACTGCCTGAGAATTTAATTTGATAACTTCTTCGTTCACTCAGACAAGTTAGCAGAAATTCCTTAAAGAGTATTCTGCTACACGGGAAAGTGCAACTCAACACGAGTTTACAAAATACAATGCTCTAAGTTTCCAAGTCTTTATCTCACAAATATATATCAAGCGTATGAATGTCAAGAATAAAAAATTACAATGGAAAATACTTTCTATAAGATGGTGGTGAGACATGCAATTCTTTATGGTGCCGAATGTTGGCCATTAAAAGAGAAGCATAATACTAAGTTAAGTGTTGCAGAGATGAGGATGCTTATGTGGATGAGTGGCTTGACCCTTAGAGATAGGATACGAAATGAGCACATACGTGATAAGGTTGGAGTAGCTCCAGTGGAAGATAAAATTAGAGAGAGTCGCCTTAGATGGTTTGGTCACATTAAACGAAGGGCCTTCCGATGACCCGGTTAAGAAAGTTGAGGTATTAGATTCGACTTATGTTAAGAAAGGTAGAGGTAGACCTAAAAAAACTTGGTTAGAAAATATTAGAAATGATCTTTCTTTATTAGATTTAAATAAGAATTGACTTTTAACCGGACACAATGGCGAAAAAGGATTCATGTAGCCGACCCCACGTAGTGGGACAAAGGCTTGATGTTGTTGTTGGAAAATACTTTCTTATAAATCATATTTCACAGCAGAAATGAGTGCAAAGGGCATTTAAAGATGTTGACCAAATGGCTCACAAGACTTAGCAAAGATAACTTGAAATCAGTTTAGAGCACTTACATAATTTCTTAAAAGATTTAGCTACGGATAAATTTAATGTAGAGTTTTTTAGCGTCAACCTAAGTGGGTATTCGTAAGCTTATTAAGTGAGGCAAGAAGGTTCCAACAGCTCTTAAACAATCCCAAGAAAAAATCTCAAGAAGTTAAAGCGCTTAGATTATAGCCTTTACTAGATGCAATGGAGCACCTGTTTGCTGGCCGGGGGATCCCATTGCCTTATAAAGCTATACAGTAACGAGTAGCAAATTGTGCATTAAATTTTGATCAACATTGTTATATCTGCTGACGTTTAAATCTTAAAATGAGCTGCCATAGTAATGTGTAATTATTTTAAAACACTAAAATATTCCTTTTGATTGATTATTTTGTTAAAGTAGTGTTTTAAAAATTTTCAATGCCTTGAGCCATATAGTTTATATCTAGCATGTTGCATTAAGACACTATTACATGGACTCTAAATGGAATCTAAAACACATCTTCGAGTCTTGAGCCTTTCTCATTTTCAATTTGTGTAGACTCAGTTCAGTTTATTAATTTATCGTATATTGTATTAAAATGTGTGATGAATATTAATCCTGCATGACATAATTGGAGATATGATGTAGAACGGATAGGAGGATTGAATCCTATGGATCTTGAAGAGCAAATACAGAAGTCTAAACAGCAGCTTTTGGGTTCTTAGAAGTCTTGAACAGCAACTCTTCTTGTTGGAAATCCCTGGACAGCAATCCAATAATGTCCAGAAAAGCCTGGACAGTAATGGGTCGAATTCCGGGGCTAGCCAGCTGGTGTGGGATTGCAGAAATACTGCTGGACAGCAGTTTAACAGCCTCCAGAATACGGGACAGCAACCCTGTTCATGGAAAAATCAGGCTCTCTAGCTCCGGTGATCATTTAGTTGTTTGAGAGGAAGCAGACAGCCGCCACGAGCTCTCTGGATGCAGCTGGACAGCAATCTGTAATTTAGAGACAGCGGGACACCAATAGGGGATTGTCAAGATTGCTAGATATCAGCTTTGGTACTTGGAAAATTCTGGCCAGCCACCTACAATTTCTTAGGAAAGCTTGGACAACCACTCAGTTCATGGGAAAACAAATTTTGGTTGATCCGTTGAAGGGAAGGAGGTGGAGTAGGGATCAAGAGCTTTCCTTAAGGCTCTCTCCTCCCGTGATTTAATTCAAGAATTGTTTTAATTGGGGTGAGGGAAGGAGATGATTTGGATTTAATTTTGAAGGGAGAGTTCTGATCTTTGGAAAGAAATAAAGGAGGTGGGGCCTTGGGGATTTCGGCTAGGAGAGAGAGGGTGAGATGTCTAGGTGCAATGAATGTGGGGAAATTGAAATTTAATTGAATAGTCAATCTCAGATTTGTGATTGATTACTAATTAAAGGGGCATTTCAAATTTAGACGATTTTATTTATGAAGGTGTTAGAATTTCAAATTCATTTTGAATTTGAAATTCAAATTCTTTCCTAAAATACAAGTGGCTAAATATGGAAGGATTTGAATCTTGAATTTTAATTCATTTGGATTCCAAATTGATTCCAAATTAATTCAAACTAAATTAGGAGATCCAAAGTATGACAAGTGGAGTGGGGTCGGCGGATTTAGCCAAGCATGGCCTACGGCTAGAGGAGAGATTAGGAGGAAATTAAGGAGGCTTTAATGCTTCCTTAATTTTGGGGGTTGGATTTAGAATAAATTAAGTCATCCTAATTAATTCAAAATCCAATGGAGGGAAAATTTGAAAACTTTCCTAAAATAGATTTTATAATTTATGAAAGAATTTGAATTTCAAATTTGGAAAAATTTAAATTCAAAGACCAACTAAATTATGGCAATCCAAAATTAGGAATTATCCAAATTAGGCAATGGCGAATGGGAGAGGGTGTGGCCTGCAGTTTGAATGGGTCGGTAAGGGGCCGGCGGCAAGGTGGAGATGGAGATGGAGATGACATGATGGTGGAAGTAGGGAGAAGATGAATATGACGACTAGGAACAACAAGAAGGAAAAAAAAAAAAAGAAAAAAAAAAGCAAAAGATAAAAGATAAAACCGCGAGCCTTGAACTCTTCCGAAGACTGACGGGTGCTACGTTGCCCTCCTCCAAGAATATATATATATATATATATATATATCTTAATAGCTTATTTGCACCTTCAAATACTCCCATAATCGTGAGCTAAAGAGTGAATTGTTGCACGAGTTGGCTGAAGAAGAAGGAATGCTGGAGATATTGTAGCAGATGTCGGTAATGTAGTAAGCATTGTAGCACGAATATTGTTGTAGTTGAAATGAAAACAGAGAAAAATGAGAAGAAAAAGAAGGGGGAAAGAAAGAAAGAAAGAAAGAAAGAGAAAAAAAAGGAGAGTGAAGAAAAGTAAAGAAAGGAAAGGAAGGAAGAAGAAGTAATAGAAAAGTTTGAATCTTTACACCAGATTAAAATTTTGGAGAAGGAGAAACAAGTAAGTTCTTCATAAGGAGAACCAATTTATCAGTTTAGATACTCAACTTCTAATATGATTATCAAATGATTGATTGGATTAAAATTTGTGTATTTTATGATTTTCATTACTTATGTAATCACATTGAAGGAATTCTTACATAATGAACCTATCAACAACAACAGCAACATCAAACTTTTATCACTATATGCGGTTAGCCACTTGAATCCATATTCTCTATTGTTTCATATTAAGAGTAAAATTTTCAACATAATGAGCTTGTCAAAAGCATCAGATGTTTTAAAGAGCATAATGTATAATATGCGTTCAGATATGTCAAATGTGTTTTAACTTGTATGAATTCAAGTAAATTCTTCTTAATTTTAAGTATAAAACTATTAAATAACTTGTGAGGCACAAATAAGTATTTTTATATGTATCATATTTCATTATGAATATAAATTATTATGAAAAGATAAAGAAATATTTATGACAATGCTAATAAGAAATGAGAAATAATAATGATAAAATTCAAAGAATACTTGAAATGTCATATCATGTAAGTTAGGTGGCGGTTGATATTGATGGCTTATGCAAGATAAGATGATGCCTGATGTAGAGAAGTTAGAATTGACTAACTTTTATCAGGAAAATGAAAATGAAATTGTTTACTCCTAACATCTAGAGTTTGTACCAGGCTAAAGCCTCTACCAGGAAAATAAACAGGAATTCCTGTCCCTTGTTTCTTTTAGTTGGAATTGGCTAACTCATTTAAGGTGATAATATTATAAAGCAGCATGAGCCTATAAGCATGATGACATTAAAAATGAATATGTTATGATAATCATAATGAATATGATATGACACTTCTAAAGTAATGATATGGAATTAAGAATGATTAGAAGATGATACTATGAATTTTACATTCATTTAATGTTCATGCTATTTCTGATCACATATGAATAATAACTCATATAGTGCTTAACATCGAATTCATTGAGGTCATTAGACATATTTGATTATAAATGATATAATTCTAACGATCAGCATATCATTCATTTTATTTCCTTTTCTTTTATATATAACTTTATATCGAATTATTTATTTCCTTTTCTTACAGTGCTTGTAGCTCATTTGATATTACATGATTTTAAAAAAAAGTAGGACTTGAGAATTAAAAATTAGGTA